GATGTGCGTCTTGAAGCGTCAGACGATGTTCGTGAGGAAATTGAGGAATCCGATGATGATGACGATGAAGATCGTTTTCCCACTCTACCTCCCATGCATGTAGGATCTGCGGGCTGTTTTGCGCACCTACTAAATCTTATAGTCGGGGTAAATATTTAATAAGGTGGTTAATGTACTTTTGCAAAATCGCAAATTGTTAAAACCATCCTTCGTGGTTTTCTATTTTTGATAGGATGCAATGAAACCTGATGTACAGCGAGCTGTCAATGACGCAAGAACCCATTGCGAGAAAATTATTACAAAAACAAAGTAATTAACAATAATATATAATAATGTATAAGTCATGATGAATAAGTAAAGTAAATCGGACCTAATCGGTCGAACATTAGAACTAATACAATTTACCATGTTTTAATAAACCTAGGCAATCAATGCCAGTTGCTCGAGCCTTTAGAGCTGCTAAAGATGCGCTACCGCGTGGTGAGGACGGTAAGCCAGAGGAGACCGGTGGCCTTGTTAAAAATGTTTCGACCCGTTGGAACTCAAATCTGGCCATGTTCAGGTACACAGCTATGTTGTATATTGTATAAGTGTATTAAAAATTAAACAGTAAACTATATATGCCATCATTTATATTTTGTTGCTGACTTGCTGTAGATCATTTATTAAGAACAAGGATGCGGTAACAGCACTATTGCGTAGAGCGCGTGAGCTTGAACTTCCGCCATTACCAGCTTCTTTGGGAAACCGTGCCAATTTTTGGAACATCCTAGATGGCCTGGTAAAAGTATTAACTCCATTTGAAGACGTCACTCTCCAAGTCAGCAAGGAGGAGTCGAGTTTGGGCGAGTGTATCCCCTATGCTCAAACACTGGTAAGCAATTAGTAATCACCGGACCGTAACAATTAAACCAAACAATATCACAATTGACTATGATCTATGTCTATTGTTGAATATTGATTTGCCTTTGTTGAGTTGTTCTTCTATCTTTGTTACTCTTCCAGCTTAGATCAATTGAAAAACTGGAAGTTCCAACGGACGATGAACTCCCGGTGACTGGTCTAAGCACTTTTTTGACTGTCTTAAAGGAGGGCATACAGGACCGTCTGATAAATGACCAGGCCAGAACTTGGAAAATTGCCACATTCTTAAATCCAAGGCAAGCAACCGCTAAGTATCAATTTCTGTCTTGAGTGCCTTTTTGAGCATTTCTAACCAATTTTTGACCAAGTCTTTTCAGCTCTGTGGTAATCTGCGAAATCTAATTATCAATTAACATTTATAAGTTACATCAATCTTGCAAGAAAATGCAGAATTGCTGAGCCAGTTTAATTTTTTTTTCTTTTTACTGCTATAGATTTAAGCTACTTCTGTTCAACGCGGAGGACCATGTTTCCGTTCGTGAGGCCGTGCTTCGGGAGATGTCCGACGATGGGACTGCTAATGCTGGCTCTGTTGGAAATCCCCCTCAGTACACCGGGCGCAAAGGATCGCTGCTCACAACGCTGTCCGACATTGTCCACGAGAGGATCGAAAATTCTGGTGGGCATACGGAGCAACAGCCAGGCCGCTCAGGCGTTATTTCGAAGAGCCAAGAAATATCAGCATACCTGTCGGAGCCGGTATTGCCAGTCCGTTCTCCTGATGGCAAGGCTAATCTAGAAGAGCTGGGAGGATATTGGTATCGCCACAAGAACCTATGGCCGTCACTTACACGGCTGGCACTCTCATATTTGTCTTGTCCTCCGTCATCAGTAACGTCTGAGCGAGTCTTTTCTCTGGCGGGGAACATTGTAACAAAAAAACGGTGCGCCCTTTTGCCAGGGAACATCGGTAAACTTGCCTTTATTAAGTTTAATAATAAAAAGTTTTAACCACATTGATGTCATTGACATTGCGTCTGTGAGCGACTGCTTCTTGTCTTGTCTTGTCTTGTCTTGTCTAGCTTGTCTTGTCTTGTCTTGTCTTGTCTTGTCTTGTCTTGTCTTGTCTTGTCTTGTCTTGTCTTGTCTTGTCTTGTCTTGTCTTGTCTTGTCTTGCGCAACCAGTAGACCACAGTGACCACTTCCATAATTCAGACAAATTTAAATATTCTTTTATGTGCATCTTAATAAGCCTTCTCGGCCTCGTTTGAGTTAAAAAATTCTTTGCAATTTTAGTCATAGAAACGAGGCCGAGAAGGCTTATTAAGATGCACATAAAAGAATATTTAAATTTGTCTGAATTATGAAAGTGGTCTATACCATGCATCATGCCATCATGCATAGTACGAAATGTTCATGCGAAGTGTTAAAATAAAAAACAAAGACAGTGCTTCCACTTTGAAATGTTAAATTTCCATGAAATTTCACGAATTTGCCGTAGCTGGAAATTTTCTGCCGGAGCCGGAGTTTTTTTTCCCGGAGCCGGAGTTTTTTTGGCCGGAGCCGGAGCCGGAGCCGGAGGTGAAAAACCCGGAGTTTGCACAGCACTACAGCCGGACAAATACGTGAAGCCCCACCCTGCTTTGCGACATTTGGAACGTGTACGTATCGCCGCTCTCTTCTGGATACGATGTTTTCCTTCACTGAAGTCGCCGTTGACTAGCACCAGCGACAGAAGACTTAACACGAGAACCAATTGCAGAAATTTCATTGTTTACAACAGCTTGAAAAAATAAATAAATAAATAAACGTTATATTCATCCAGCACGCGAGACATAATGCCCCTCGTCCTGTCTAGTCAACAAGCTTGAATCTCATCTCAAAAATAGAAATAGGTTTATGGTCGTTACGTACTCCTGCCTCGTCCCAGGCTTGCTCGTTTCCAATCCATCCTTAAGACAGTTTGTAACCAAAGATGGTCGTGTCTCACTTGGGTTTTTACGTGAAAAAATGCATTCGTTACATGGAGAAACCTAGATAGCAAATATATCTGCATATCCCAGCGTCACTAGTGTGACAATTTCCGTAAATAGTTTTGATTTGCGGTAAAACTCAGAAAAAAACCCACCCACAGTTATATGACTTATATCTGATCATTTTTGTGCTTTTTGGCAATCCGTCAACCAGAGTTGGAGACAAAACGACTATAGGCAGTCGAGTACGAAATGACCTGATACCTCAGAAATACACCTTCCCTGTCTAGTAAAAATATCTGCCTTCAAGTATGTGTCGCTTGTAGTTTCTACTATATATTACATATAGCGCATAGGAAGCTAGTAGCGTTATCTGACCCTCACTACCAACCAAAACGTAAAGTATGGCTAGGTCTACAGTAATAGCGTATGAAACAATAGAGACATAAGCAATATTAATACGTACCTGGGGAACAATATACTCTTTGAATAAAATATGCCTCGAGTTGTTTGATGTACACTGCGTATAACCATACACTGAAAACTAACTACGGACACTGTTTTGGCGCGCTTTTATAATTTTCCCCGACGTCAGGTGCTGCATACATTTTTTGATAAATACTATCATTATCCAAAATATGTTTATTTAAATAAAACGTAGTTTCTGTTAAGCCTTAGTTCAACCAGATAATTCACAAAAGATTGTACGCATCAACAGGTGTAAACAATGTTAGCGCAGGCATGCCCGGCGTGGGCATATACGAACCAGGCTTTACCCTAAGTGGGCAGTAATCGAGCTAATTATAATTAACAGTACCAAAATTAGAAATTGGGAACTTTTTATGAAAAACAAGTTTAATTTATAAAATATTAGCCTAGGTTGTGTCACAACACCTTACAACTGTGACACACTCTGGGTTACGATGATCGGAAAATACAGTACTCAACTAGAATTCTTTTTTCAAAACCCTAACCCTGTCCCCTACAGGCCATACTATACACACGCCTCCGGTCTGTCGACGTACTAAAAGGAAAATAATTTCAGGGACTAATGGGTATTGCCCAAGGGCAAACTGATTAAATTTTGGTTCAATTTGGATTAAAAATTGGTTAAGAAATTAGCAAAACTGCATGCGACATTGTGAGCGTGTTTTTTTGCTTCGTAAATAACTCGCCAATGTTTTTAACCAAAAATATAGCGTGCTCAATAATTTTGCTTGTACAATCACGATCTCTTAAAACTTCCTAACCTCCTACGCAGGAATTTGAGTGGGCGGAGGATGAATGTCCCCACACTGACGTCGTTCGATTCACATAGTTTTCGTATTATCGAATAACTTCCTGAATGTTGTTGTAACTTTTTTGTTTTGTGAAAATGATTTCCCTCCCATTTTATAAGTGAGTTCAACGTGCGAGCACTGCAGGGGAATCAACAACCTGACTCGGGAAACGTCCAAGTTCTTTTTTCACAGGAAAAAAATGGAACATACATGAATGGTTTTTAAAGATTTACCATGTACTACACTATCAATGTAAAACTGAACATCATCATCAATGGTTATAGATTCCCCATATGGTAAATTAGTAAAAACCATGATGTTTAATATTGACCAGGAAAATACCACTAATGGTAAATAATAAACATCGTGTTTTTTACTTTTTTGCTTCGTAAATAACTCGCCAATGTTTTTAACCAAAAATATAGCGTGCTCAATAATTTTGCTTGTACAATCACGATCTCTTAAAACTTCCTAACCTCCTACGCAGGAATTTGAGTGGGCGGAGGATGAATGTCCCCACACTGACGTCGTTCGATTCACATAGTTTTCGTATTATCGAATAACTTCCTGAATGTTGTTGTAACTTTTTTGTTTTGTGAAAATGATTTCCCTCCCATTTTATAAGTGAGTTCAACGTGCGAGCACTGCAGGGGAATCAACAACCTGACTCGGGAAACGTCCAAGTCTTTTTTCACAGGAAAAAAATGGAACATACATGAATGGTTTTTAAAGATTTAGTACCATGTACTACACTATCAATGTAAAACTGAACATCACCATCAATGGTTATAGATTCCCCATATGGTAAATTAGTAAAAACCATGATGTTTAATATTGACCAGGAAAATACCACTAATGGTAAATAATAAACATCGTGTTTTTTACTTTTTTGCTTCGTAAATAACTCGCCAATGTTTTTAACCAAAAATATAGCGTGCTCAATAATTTTGCTTGTACAATCACGATCTCTTAAAACTTCCTAACCTCCTACGCAGGAATTTGAGTGGGCGGAGGATGAATGTCCCCACACTGACGTCGTTCGATTCACATAGTTTTCGTATTATCGAATAACTTCCTGAATGTTGTTGTAACTTTTTTGTTTTGTGAAAATGATTTCCCTCCCATTTTATAAGTGAGTTCAACCTGCGAGCACTGCAGGGGAATCAACAACCTGACTCGGGAAACGTCCAAGTTCTTTTTTCACAGGAAAAAAATGGAACATACATGAATGGTTTTTAAAGA